TTCGGTGGTTTTCTTGATGGACGAATTTCTATCTTTTCCAACTTGGATCAAGTCTATAGAATTGAAAAGGGACCCATCAAATTATTGTGATATGGGGAATTGAGAAGGACCGATTTAGGGTTAGGGTTTCACCACTTGGGTTGGCGGCTGTCAGGGCATTAGGGTTACTCTCAATCAGAATCCTTGTTATCCAACCAACAACAATGGCAGATTTAACCAAGGCATGACCATGTCTTTTACACATTTAGCAAAATGCATGATTTCCAAATAAAAATATTAAAAAATGGGTATTTTAAGGAAATAAATCATCAGTGTGTTATATAACTTTTGAAAATCTGTGAAAAAGACTTTCTTAATCTATCAGATTTTTATTTTTCTTTCATATATCTTTGAGTACCAACATAAAGAATTAATATTGATTTTTTTGGAAGTACTTTATGAACTGTAAATTTTTATATGTTCTTCTAGAGAGTTAATGCATTTATCCACCCTTTTCTTCAAATATATATAAGACACATGTACCTTTTCTTCACTCTTTTTCTCTTATCAATTCTGAACTGGTCATGTTTTTTTTACTCAAAACGGTTTTCAGGGACTCAGTTTCTTTTTGTCCGTTTCTGTTTTTTCTTTTTTTTTTCTTAATTTTTTGGACCAAAATCGATCAAATACCAAACTTTATGCCTCTCTATGTATACTTTTTCTTCATTGTTTTACTAAAATCTATTTTTTGATGGAATGAAGTTAGAATTTCTAGTCATTTCCATCACCTTCATTACTCTATCTCAATCTAAGCACTTCTAATAAATTGAACACTATCTCTAAGCAACGCCTAGAATTTCTCTCGTGGTGTAGCCAAAGTAGGACTCCTATCTCAAGTGATTCCTAAAATTTTCTCTCCCTTATTTCAAATTGGCAATTTTCATTTTCAAAATGGATAATTCTTGTAATTTTACATCTTCATAGAAAAACCAAAAATTCAAATTATCTCTTTAGATATAATTATCTAGTGATTCTAAGTTAGTTGCCAATTTCTTAAATTAAAAAATCCGCAAGTGTAGGTTTTATGCATGAGTGAGTAGAAGGACAGTATACTCCTACATGAATATAATATATTCGATCCCATGATTTTATTGGGAGCATAAAATAAAATAACAATAATAATTCTAAACACAAAAGTTACATTAAAAATAGCAAGTAAAACAACCCTAAAAATAAGATTTTTTTTTGGGGGTTGGGGGAGAGAAATTTTATCATAAAATGTAATTTTGGAGTCAAAAAATCTTTTGATGGCCTAAGAATCCATTTTTATATCTAATTATAAATTTTTAAACTCCAAAATTAATTCAAATCAAGTAAATCTATAAACACTAAAAAATCTTGAAAATGGACGGTCCAGATGATGTTTTGCAAGATGTACTATTTCTAGGGATACAAAATATTCTTTTTTTTTCCATTTCCATGCATCATAATGTCGAGATGATCAATTAGAGGGTTTTCCAACATCAAAATAACCTTTTATGATGGATTTTTTAGGTACACCATTATTTCTACATTTTAAGGTTGCAACTTTATATAAACTTTTAATTCGTGTATGTGGGCCTGGGGTTCATGCAGCAGTTATATAGTAATATAATGCAATAACCTTCAAACACCATGTTAGTGCCATTTGTTTGATCCCAATTTTTAAATGTACACTCTTTTCATTCTATTGAACAATCACAAAAAAATAAAATTTGAAAATGCACCCTAGAAAGTGTTATTTTAGCTCAATTAATATAAGGCGTCCATTTTATTAAGGTGCTTAGATTTAAGACTTAGAAGGATTTTTCTCATTTCAAAATTTTTAGATAGCTTTGTTATGATTAGATGAACAATGTTGAAAAAGAAAAATATGGCTTTGAGTTCATAAAAGCCTAGATCTTGAAATTGGCTAAAAGGATGGTGTAGATTTATTGTTAGAGGGGCCTCATTTTAAACATATTTATGATGCAATTTTGATTTTTCTTTTGAAAATTGAGGATGAAGAGAGGGTATGTAAAATTTTTGGGGTGATATAATGCTACAAACATAGTTTTTTTAGAAGTGTGCATAGTTTTTTTAGAAGTGTGGTTGTTTTATCTTACTATACAACTGTTGCATGCAATCATTCTGGCTCTAAACAATCGAATTAGAGCCTACCTTCAAATATTGTCGAGAAATGTGCTTTCAATACTGAAAATCTTTGTGATAGCTTTAAAATATATTTTCATCTCTATTTATAAAGTTTAAAGCTTAAAAAATAGTATAGATTGACGTATCTATGAAAACCTAAAAAACTTGAAAATTGATGGTCCAAAAAATGCGTTACGAAATACACTATTTCCAAAACTCGAAATCTATTTTTTCTCATGTCTATGCGTCTTGATGTCGAGATGATCAATTTGAAGATATTTGGGCATCAAACCAACCTCTTCTAGTGAAATATTTGAGGTAGGCTCTAATTTGATTGTTTAGAGCCTCGACTCTATATA